TTTTGTTGCTTCCACAGACCAAATGCTTTTCCCGATTAGCAAACATCCCCTGGGAAGGAGTGAGTTAAAGACTAGAGACAGAAGCTTCAGATGCACTCGAAGCTCTCGGAGTTGGCCCCACCCAGGAATGAACTGCATGGCACTGATTCTGTAGCTGGGAACATCATCCATGGTCCTGACTAAAGAGCAAAATGCAAGACCCCCAGATGGTGTAATGGTTACGTCGCTGGGCTCCCACATAGAGTAACACGGTTCGAGTCCTGGACCCAGAGGCCTAAAACTCACACCAGGCGCATGTGCGTGCATTCCTAAGATCCAGAGAGGAAAATGGAGAAGAAGGGACTGTGGTGTGGCCATCCCCTTGGGGGAGTGACTTCTCACTTTCTGTCTCTCTGTTTCTCTCTCTCTGGTGAGCGCATGTGCCCTATAGCAAAAAAATCTCTTAAAAAAAAGAACAAAACACCTTCTCTAATTCTGTGAAATTCGAGCCCTGCCAGGGGTACTAGTGATGAAGAGCTGGGTCCTGCCCAGGAGGTGCTTACCCCTCCTCCCTGAGAGACAGAGAATAGTGGGCGCTGTGAGGAGGGCACAAGAGAAATGTCACATTGAAGCCACAGCCTCGTGAGGGGGTGGTGAGGACTGGCCAGAAGATGAGTCAGCGAGAAGCAAATGGAATGAGGTCAGAAACGAGGAGAGAGATCACGTCACGCTGGACCTGTGGATTCAGGGGAAAGTCTGAGGATTTCATTCTGGGTACAACCAACGTGCCATTCATTGTGCGAGTACTCGTTGCGAGCCCTCCGTGTGCCCACCACTGTTTTAGATGGAAGAGTACCGTGTAAACAAGACAGGAGCCGTGCCAGCCTCGAGGTGCCCTGCTGGTGAGGGAGGCAGATCAGGGCAGAGTCCACCGAGTCAGGAAGATGACTCTAGTAGTGGCAGGTGCTGGGGAGAATGGCACTCACCTGGCTCTGTTTCGTTTTAATTTATTACTGTGTACTGCTTTGTACTTCAAAGCAAGTCAGTAATTGGGGACAGAGACTTGTGGCCCACAAAGCTGAAAATATTTACTTATCTGGCCCTTTACAGAAAACAGAAGGAGGGGGAGATAGAGAATGAACTGCAGTGCCACAGTTCCCCATGGGAGTGCTTTCTCGTCGCTGTCTCTCTCTCTCTCTCTCTCTCTCGTTCTCTCTGAGGATATACTCACTGGCAATAGAGAAAGAGAGAAAGAAAAAGTTCACCAACCTTCGTTCTAGATTTTCCCAGTACTCTGCAAATGCCTGCTCCAAAACTGGTTCAGTCTGCCCAGAAAACCACCCCCTGTCCAGGAGCGTGGTCAGGAGAGTTGGAGAGTGGAAGACAGAACCTCTGTGCACACTGCTTTTCCCAGAGCCTGGCCAGACCCCCTGCCTGGGGCCCTGGGAGGGTGTAGTCTGGGTCTTTGGAGCCCCTCAGTTACAGAATTTCCTTCCTGCCATTCGATCCCATGAGAGAGGTCTGACTTGCCTCCGTGGCCGGCTTGATTCAAGGTTTCTAGGACATTGAAATTGTGGGATTCTATACTTTCGGTACCTCTGCTCATTGATGAGATATATCCCTGACTTAGCAAAACATGCAACAGCCAGAAATTCATTCTAGTATCTCACGTGTCCTATTCCAGTTTTACAACAAATTATGTGTATGGTTTTTTTTTTTTTGGGGGGGGGGGCGTTGTTTTTTGTTTTGCCAGAGGGCGCATGCACTTACTGGAGAGAGAGAGAGGGAGAGAGGAGGAGAGGGGAGAAGAGGAAAGAAAAAATAACCCTTCATGGGAAATGGTCACACAGCAATCTCTTCTCCATTTTCCCCTCCTCTTGGGCTATCGGCCATGCCCATGCATGAACCCAGCCCGTTTCTCAACCCAGTAGGTCCAGGACTTGAACTGTGCCATTGGCCATGTGAGATCCAGCTCACATAACCACCAGGCCACAGACTAGACCATATGTGCGTGTACTTTCATGTATGTCTGAATGTCGGATCCCCAAAGCATTCCCAATGGTTTTCTCTGGGTGCTGAGACTAGGGAGGGTGTTTGTTTGTTTGTTTGTTTTAACTCTCTTCTTTTTTGTACTACTTGGGTTTCTTTTTTTAAATTATCTTTATCTGTGGGTAAGGGGGGAACAGCTCTTTTACAAAAATAATTCAGAATGGCTGCATCCTCCTGCGGGTGATAGAATTATGTAGAGATGCATCCATACAGCTCACCACTCCTTGGAGCAGGGGAGTGAATAGTTTCAGAATAAGGGAGATAAATAAGAGCATGGTAAGAGGTGAGGAAAGAAGTAATGTTAGAAAATCTGACATGGTCATCATTTTGAGATATGGAAAATTCCCAATATCTAAATCTCCTTGATTTGTGGTTAGTTTTTGGAAGGAAAGGGGTGTAGATCTTTTCCTGATTTCCTTTCCACCCCTCTCCCATTCTGTCCTAAGGAACTGGAAGCCGTCGCGATATTTAAAAATAGTAGCCTGGCGCCACCTAGTGCCCGCATTCTGTCATGTCGCCCTCGGCGTCTCCGTGCAAGCCTCCCTTCAGATTCTTTGTTTGATGTCCCTGCTCTGGTGGCATTTGCGCGGCAGGCAGCGCAGTGCCTCGCGGGGTTCTGCAGGGCAGTGGGAATGCCTCATTAATTTATCCTTTCCTTCCTGTCTAAGTCGCACAAAGCGCTGCTCTCGATGGAACCGCGATTTGGCAGTCGAAGAGCAAAAAGATGCCTTCCTGTCGAAACCAATCTCCGCTTTTCTGCAGCAGCTGGGCCCTTCAAGCTGGTCCATTCCTAAGGCGGGAGAGCCATCCCAGGACTGCCTTGGGTTTGGGGCAGTGGAGTAGAAAGTAGGGGAGTCCGGCTTCTGGTGGGCTGCTGCGCCAGTAGCTGGCTCCAAACGCCCTGCCAGTCTGGACCGAGTAGGGCCCCTGGCCGGTCACCTGCTCCTCACGCAGTTCCTCCATCTACCAAAATGTGCTCCTCCTGTCGCCTCTTCCCCCACCCTTACCATGCTCATCCCAGGCCTCTGGGTTCCACACCTGTTAGTTCTAAAACTTCGTCTCCCCCCTGGTCTCCCAGCAGGCAGAGGAAGCGCCCCCTCCACTCCCAGCTTTCCGTGGCCCTTCTGCCCCAGCGAAGGCTCCAGGCCTGCCTGCCTCATTCTCAGGCTCCTATCTTCCGCTGGCTCCAGAGCACTGCAGGAGGCAGACCAGATTTTTAACCCAGCCAGAGGCTTCTCACCCCAGTCGCACCTGACACTCCCCCACCCTTGTTCTTGGTGCAGCCCTCCAGCCCTACAGGTTTCCACTCTGGTCCCTTTGCCTGCCCTCTCTTCTTCCCCAACTCCCACCCAGCATCCCTCCTACCTCTCAGTGACTCAGTGATCAGTTAGAGTCGCCTTCCCCCCAGGAGGCCTCCCAGGCCAGAGCCTGGCTAAAGCCTCCTATAATGGGCTTCAGAGCCCATGCACCTGGCCTCACCCCATCCATCTCATCGCCCTCTCTCCTTTCAGATGACTAGGCCTCAGCACAGAGCAGCTCTCTCTCCAGGGGGACACTTGGCAATATCTGAAGATGCTTGGTTTCCCCAGCAGGAGAGGACTGGGGAATGGTGCTCCCAGTTTCCAGGGTAGGCAGGGAGTGTAGCTGTGTGTACACAGAGTGTCCTAAGAGCTGCAGTCCTGTGGCCGGAGAGGCCCACAGTGCTGAGGGGGGAACTCTGCGTTAGACTCAGTGCAGCCGCCCGGAGGGGGAACAGGTGTATAGGCCGGCCGTGCTCTCAGTACTCACAGGTTCGTCTAGGGGCTATAGATGCACACGCAGCCGCCATTAGCACGTCCTGGCCACAGGGACTCAGAAGACCAATTAGTCCGACCTTTCTCTCACCCCACATCAGAGATTGCTGGTCCAGATGTCATCCTTTTTGTGGTGAAATTATTTAAGTCTTAGAAATTATTGCTGTCTCATTCTAACTTGTGTTTATTTGCACTCTGATCTGATTGCAGTGACATGTCATATACAAATTTAGTTAGTTGGGACACTGTTCAAATGAGATGGCGTTTTTTGTTTTGTTTTGTTTTTAATTTTGCTATAGGGTACATGCACTGGTTGGAAGTGGGGAGAGGGAGGAAGAGAGAAAGAGAAAGTGAGAGAGAGCTCCTCAGGAGATGGCCAGAATGCAATCCTTTCTCTGGGGATTTTGGGTATATATGCACAAGGGTCCCCTATGTCCTGTAAGCTGCTGGCTTCAAGGCTTGAACTGCACAGTCGACTATGTGGGACCCAGCCATTTTAAACACCATGCCATCAGCTGGCCCTGGCCTGGTTTCCTCAAGAAGTTCATCACAGGGGACCAGCAGGTGGTATGTTGCTTAAGGTGCTGGATTCCCACATGGCTGACGGTGGTTCAAGTCTCAGACCTGGCTGCTTTCTTTCTCTCTCTGTCTTGCTTTGGTGAGTGCACATACCCTATAGCAAACTTTCTGAAATAACACTAGTAATTATTTTTTGAAAGTTCATCAGATAACAGGCGTGTGGCTGTGCTGCATTAAAGGAGACTGAAGCACGGAGGCAGACAGCTATAGATGTTTTTTGGAGATGATGGGGCAATTTGAGCACAGACTACACATGAGATAGTATTACTAATTAATGTGTAGTTTCTCAACTGTGACTGTGGTGTTATGGCCACATAGGAGAATATCCTTCTTAGAGATGCAAGCCAGAGACTATAGGGGTGAAGGATTAGAATGTCTGCAACTCAGTTTCAAATGGTTTAGCAGGAAAACAGGGGTGTGTGTGGAAAGGGAGGGAGGGAGAACAGAGCTGGTAAATGTTAATAGGGCGGTCTAGGTGAAGGGAGTGGGAGTATGCTCTGCACTGCTCCTGGCCTCTAGAGGTTGGGGTCTTTAGGGGTACACATGACTGCTCGGTGCGCTGCGCCTGCAGCCCCTGAGCGTGGCCGTGGGTGTCTTTAGTTTGCAGCTCCCCGCCCATCCACATGAAAGTGCAGCCCTTGAACCAGACGGCGCTGCAGGTGTCCTGGAGCCAGCCGGAGACCATCTACCACCCACCCATCATGAACTACATGATCTCCTACAGCTGGACCAAGAACGAGGACGAGAAGGAGAAGACGTTCACCAAGGACAGCGACAAAGACTTGGTAAGGCCCCGGTCCCGAGGCAGGTGCAGGCTGCCTTTGCGGTTATCTGAGAAGCCCTTGCTACACCCTGTAGCCAGACACTGCATGCAGCAGCCAGCTCGGCCAGCTTTGTCATCCCAGCCTCACGCTGCCCTGTGAGCGTGGGTGCTGCCATGGTCTCTGCTCCCGGTAGTCGCCTCCAGGGTGTGCAGTGGGCAGAGTTTGCCCTGACTTTACACTAGACCCACCGACTTTCTTCAGATTGGACTGACTGCAGTTTCTTTCATTATTAGCAAACAGAAAGCCCCTTAGGCCATTTGCATCGGGTCGGGTTACTGTACATACTGAAGGGGTCATGCACATGTGAGCAGGCCCTGGCACAGTGAGCACTGTCATCATAACCATTAGTACTATGATTAGCCTTCCTCTGCCTCCTCAGCCTCGTCCTTGCTAACCTCTGAGGGGATTCAAAAGTTGGCATCAAATGGAACGAAGGCACAAGTTTATTTTGGTGCGAAAATAATTGCAATCCATGTCCTGTTTTCCGATAATACACATTTCCCACGAACTTTTTGAAGACCATCATATTACTACAACAGCTGTCACCTCCACCATCCAGTTGCCCACAGTCCCCACCACTCCCTTTTGTCACATTTGTCTGCCTCACACGTTCCCGTTCCCTGCTGGAACTCTGTGATTGCGACGTTTTTCACCTTCTGTTCTCAGACTTGCAGACACTGTAGTTACAATATCTGATCTCACTCTGAGCCATGCGTGACCAGGTCAGCCTCTCATAATTAAACACGTTAAGATGAATATGTGCAGAAACGTTTAGTGACCAGCACCCAACACGGCCTTTCAGAACAGACATCTGCAGAAACCATCTTCTTTTCCTCTAAAAGCAAACCCTCCAACAAGTGTTAGTCTTCAAGTCTTTGCCTAGAAACTCAAAGTGACACATTTGGGTTTGAAAGCCTCGCGTTTATTGTTAATCAAAGGGAGGCTTTGGAATAATGAAACCCGTAATTGTATATGCACATGAAAAATGCAATAGCACCAAGTGGGATTCTTAATGACTGTTATCACTTTTTTTTTTTTCCCTCCCAATACAGAGTCCTCCGGGCCCATTCAATCAGTTATAGAATAATACTTTTCGTATTCCTTTAGATGAAGATTCTTTTACTTCATTTCCATTTATATTTTCAATTTCCCCACTAGACATTGTTATCTGGGTCACATTAGGGAATGATGAGCTTCATGAAATCAGGGAGGAATCTATTGAAAGGCACCCAAGGTTATGATGTATTTCCACCTTTTCTCTTGTCACAACTGGGAGTCCATCAGGGAGTTTTCTCTTTCTGAAGTAAAGATGGCTTGCATTAATCAGCAGAAATGATCTAGGCGTGTATGTGGCTTCTTATTCTAAGTGGAACATAATTAAACACGTTAAGATGAATAGATACTGACTTGGGGTGAATTCTAATAAATCCCTACATAGATGGAATGAAGATTTTGCTCAGAACAGAAGGTGGGGTTGGAGGGTTAGCGAATGAGGCCTAAATTAGTTTCAAAATAAAATTGAGAGATGTAGAGAAAAACATGCTTTTGGCAGTAATTCTTGTATATAGGTATATGTGTGTGTGTGTGTGTGTGTGTGTATGATTTTCTAAGGGTGGAAGTCTTGTATATAGGTATATGTGTGTGTGTGTATGAATTTCTAAGGGTGGGTGTTTTCTTTGGGGGCACACAGAAATTACTTTCTTAATTCCTCAACTCAGTGCTGAGTTAATGCAGCGAAGCTATTCTCTGTTGTATGCTATCAGGACCCAGAAACCTGAAAGTCTCACCTAATATTTGTGCAGCATTTCTGGTTTGCTCCTCTCACATCCTCGACACACACCCGTAGGGCCCATTCAGTCAGTTACAGGACAATGCTCTGCATATTTCTTTGAATAAAGATTCTTTTTCTTCATTTCCATTTATATTTTCAATGTTTCCCGAAAGTTTTCAGAAGAAATGAATGAGGCCCAAAGTTAAATAATGCGATCCTAGCCTCCCCCTCACCAGGAAGCTGTCCTCCAGGCAACAGCAGCAGGTGTGACCACAAAGCCAGTTTAATACCGGTTCAGAGCGTTTCAATGGCTACATCGGGGAAACCTACTCTGTGGTTACGCTCCTGGAGCCACTATCTGTGCTTGACCCAGAATACAGGTTTCAATGACAAAGGATTTCAGCAATAGGAAGAGCTTTAGACAATCAGCTGTTCGTGGTTTACTTTTCCAGGAAGTGAGTGCTGCCTGCTTTGTAGTGTTTTCCATTTTCTCATTTTTGAAGGCTGTTGGAATGAAACTTGGAGGGATGAGGAATAGGGTTTGGCTGGTGATGTGTGGTTTGCAGTTGGCAAGCATTTTCTAGGAAGGGTCAAAGTAAATATTTTAGGCTTCCGTGCTCATAGTCTCTGTCGTAACTACTCACTCTGCCATCATAGGGTGAAAGCAGTACATTAATGAATGGCCGTGGCCGTGTGCCAATAAAACTTTATTTACAAAGACAGACTGCAAAAGCCCCAGGCACAGGGGTGCGCACCTGTAGTCCCAGCTCTTTGGGAGGCTGAGGCAGGAGGATTGCTGAGTTCAAGGCCAGCCTGGTCAACATAGACCCCCATCTCTAAAAAACAAAAAATCGTATTAGTCACATTTGACCTGCAGACTGTAGCTTGCGAACCTGTGGGAGTCCAGCATTCTCTGTTGCATGACATGGTCTCTCTAGGTAAAAGGTTTGGCCAGCCTGTGTGTGTAGTTCTCACAGGAACATTCAGGGTAGCTAATTGTCTCCCCGTCTTATAACTGAACTTAGCAGACGCCAACAGACATTGAGTGTCTGGCTCAGACTCACACAGCCAGGGAGTGGCGTGACAAGGCTTGACCTCGAGTCACCAGGCCCTTTGTATGGTAGCCTTCCGTATGTCTCATCAACAGTCAAGATCCCACGAGGCCATAAACTGCAAGGAAACAGACACACAGATTTTTGTTGATGTTCTAAACTCCACATGGCTTTGGAAACTCAATATACTTGGTCATTCTAGAGGCCACCTGGGATAAATAATTATAATTTGTTAGATACAGTAATTACAACACAAGTCCAAGCCTTATAAGTCCAAAGAAGGCTCTGAATATACATCCCAAGCCGTCTTCAAAAATGATGTCGTCATTTCTCTCACCCTGCACATGTCAGTGTTGAGAACAGAGGCCCAGGCAAGGTCATTTCTAGGTAGTCTTTTCCTTCCGAAGTGAGCCTCCGATCAGTAGGAGGAGATCACGGCTGTCAGGTGTTGCTGGGGCGCCCAGGTCTGGCTGCAGAACACCAAGTGTGGACTCATCCCCTTGTCTTGTCTGTCTTCTCCCACAGAAAGCCACCATTAGCCATGTCTCACCGGATAGCCTTTACCTGTTCCGAGTCCAGGCCGTGTGTCGGAACGACATGCGCAGCGACTTCAGCCAGACGATGCTCTTCCAAGGTGAGGCTGCCTTCCATCTTCCTCTGGCCAGAACCCCGCCTCCTCCCTCTGTCTACCTCGTCCTCTCTTACAGTAGAAACACAAACCTGGCCTAAGAATCAGTGCAGGACTCTAACTCACACCTGGAAAGTCCCAGTGCTTTGGATCTGTCTTATCTATCTTTTGGATTTTTTGTTTTTGTTTTTGTTTTATTTGCTTTCAGTTTTTTGGATTTTGTTTTTTGTTTTCTTGTCTTTTTTGTTTGTTTGTTTTTTTGTCTTCGCTACAGGGCACCTGAGCTCCTGGGGGCTGACAAATCACTTTGAGGGGTCTGACCACACTGCAATCCCTTCTCCTCCTCTCTCCTCTTGGGAATTTGTTTAGGGCATGCACACACACACATGCTCAGCGTGATTCTGAAGCTGCTAGGTCTGAGATTTGAACTGTGAAACTGACCATGTGGGATCCAGCGTCTATTATTTTTTTAAGAGTTATTTCATTTAACTTTCTTCCTTCCTACTTTTAATTTTGACCAGAGATGGACAGAGTAAGAGAGAGAGAGAAAGAGAAGGAGGGAGGAAAGGAAAGTGAGAAAGCAAGCTGCCAGGTTCCGGACAGACACACAGATTTTTGTTGATGTTCTAAACTCCACATGGCTTTGGAAACTCAATATACTTGGTAATTCTAGAGGCCACCTGGGATAAATAATTATAATTTGTTAGATACAGTAATTACAACACAAGTCCGAGCCTTATAAGTCCAAAGAAGGCTCTGAATATACATCCCAAGCCGTCTTCAAAAATGATGTCATCATTTCTCTCACCCTGCACGTGTCAGTGTTGAGAACAGAGGCCCAGGCAAGGTCATTTCTAGGTAGTCTTTTCCTTCCAAAGTGAGCCTCCGATCAGTAGGAGGACATCACGGCTGTCAGGCGTTGCTGGGGCGCCCAGGTCTGGCTGCAGAACACCAAGTGTGGACTCATCCCCTTGTCTTGTCTGTCTTCTCCCACAGAAAGCCACCATTAGCCATGTCTCACCGGATAGCCTTTACCTGTTCCGAGTCCAGGCCGTGTGTCGGAACGACATGCGCAGCGACTTCAGCCAGACGATGCTCTTCCAAGGTGAGGCTGCCTTCCATCTTCCTCTGGCCAGAACCCCGCCTCCTCCCTCTGTCTACCTCGTCCTCTCTTACAGTAGAAACACAAACCTGGCCTAAGAATCAGTGCAGGACTCTAACTCACACCTGGAAAGTCCCAGTGCTTTGGATCTGTCTTATCTATCTTTTGGATTTTTTGTTTTTGTTTTTGTTTTATTTGCTTTCAGTTTTTTGGATTTTGTTTTTTGTTTTCTTGTCTTTTTTGTTTGTTTGTTTTTTTGTCTTCGCTACAGGGCACCTGAGCTCCTGGGGGCTGACAAATCACTTTGAGGGGTCTGACCACACTGCAATCCCTTCTCCTCCTCTCTCCTCTTGGGAATTTGTTTAGGGCATGCACACACACACATGCTCAGCGTGATTCTGAAGCTGCTAGGTCTGATATTTGAACTGTGAAACTGACCATGTGGGATCCAGCGTCTATTATTTTTTTAAGAGTTATTTCATTTAACTTTCTTCCTTCCTACTTTTAATTTTGACCAGAGATGGACAGAGTAAGAGAGAGAGAGAAAGAGAAGGAGGGAGGAAAGGAAAGTGAGAAAGCAAGCCGCCAGGTTCTGGACTCAAAAGCGGCCGGCCATGTAGGAGTCCAGCACCCTTAGCCACTATGCCACCTGCTGGCCTCTAGGGATCCAGGGTCTTAACCTCCACACCACCTGCTGGCCCTACATCCATTATTTAAGTCTAGGATTTTCATAGGCCAGAAAAGGGAGAGAAAGCAAAGCATTTTTTTGATTGTTTTATTGTTATTTCCAGTCATGACAGACCGAGGGCTTGGACGTCTCTCTCAGCCATTGTCTACTGCAGTGTCAGATCACAGAATCACTTCCGAGTGTTGATGTCCAATATCCCCTTTGGCTCGCTGGCATGATTCAGTTAGCAGTTCTCTTAAGAACTGGAGTCCAAAACAAATACAGCTCACCCTCTCACTGGCAAGCCACACAAACAAGCCCCAGCTGTGAGACCTTTGAAATTCCCAGAATAAAGAACTATGCTCCTGCTGACTTAGGGGATAGGGGAAAGTTCCAGGGCCAGAACAAGGACGAAGTAGGTGAAGCATTTGCCTTGGCACAGAATTTAAAGAGATGCCAAAAAACTCAATAATCAAGATAGATAACATTTTTTTTAATTGCTGGAGGGCACATACACTCACCAGAGAGAGACAGAGCGAGGAGAGAAGATGGAAAAAACACTGTCCAATGGAGCATGGTCATGCCATGGTCCCTTTCTGCCTTTCTTCTTTTTATTGGGATTTTGAGCACAGACGCATGCACCTGGTGTGTATTCAAGCCGCCAGGGCCAAGATTCAAACCGCAATTGACCGTGCATCACCCAGCTCCCTTAACCACTAGGCTATAGGGCCAGCCCAAGATAGGTAACATTTTACTGTGATCTATTTTAAAAGCAAAATCAATGCACCCATTCCTTGAATAAAACATCAGAATTTTAGGGCTGAATCAGTATAGTGATAATGCACTATTCAAGCAAAGTTGAATCCTTATGGATTTGGTTCCCCAATCAACCCATACCAGCTAGGCATGTGTACCCATGAGCCTGGCTCCCCAGGAAGGCTGGGAGGTTGCTACCTAGAATCCTGTTGAGGATGCTTATTTTTCTCTCTCTGTCTCTTACATGAAATAAATAAGTAAGTACACATACACATGTATCAGACTCTTAAAGATAGAGTGCACACTGTCATATTTGCCTCAACTCAATCCCAGTCCTAATTCCAATCTTATTTATAAAAAAAAAATAGGAAGTCATAGTTGGCCTGCTTGGTTTTATGACATGAGCTAAGATCTGCCAGGAAGGAGGGACCTGGACATTGGTTCCGTTCTGTCAGCCCAAGGTCCTCCCTGATCAATTCTTTACTCCTAGGGACCACAGCTTTCCCATCCATCAACTGAGAACCCTACATGGCCAAGCCAGTGGTCCTTAGCCTTTTTCGAGTCATGGATCTGATGAAAGCTTTGAACCTTTTTCCTAGGTAATGCCAGAACTGTGCATACAGTTTCAGGGGCGTTATAAAGCATGTAGGTTGGGGGGCAGCAACAGCAGCATCTCTAAGAAGCCTGTGAGAAATGCACCTTCCTGGGCCCCTCCCAGACCGACTGCAAGTGGGGCCCAGGAACCTGAGTTTTATCAAACCACCCTGGCAAAGGTGTGTGTATTAAGGGTAGAGCCGGGCTTGAGTCCCGGCTGCCACTTAGCAGTTTGCAACCCTAAGAATATTTCTTAATGTCATGAAGCTGCAGTTTCCTAATTGTAAAAGTTGAAGTATTAATCACACTGACCTCGTGGGATCCTTGTAGAATGGCATGGGGAGGCGCATGCTAAGTAGTCAGCCGAGTACCAATTACAGGCACTTGATAGAAACACTTCCTTAGTGTTAGGTTTGGTATAAAGAAGTAATAAATGATGAACCCAGGGTAAGAAGCCCTTCAGCCGTGATTTCCTCCAAGGATTCCTTCTAGCGTGGAAATTTTGTATTTAGTATTTTAATATTCTTTGCTGATATTCACATTGATCTCATCCTTCTATTTACACTAATCGAAATTAGCATAGCTGCATGTTTTCACAGATAAATTACCTGTGCCCTGAACGAGGGGGTCCCATTCACTGTGTTCAGGTCAGACTAGCCCAAGACCAGGTCCATGGTGGCCGAGGGGGAGAGCTAAGAGGAGACCGGGCGGGGAGGGTTTACTGAAGCCAGGGCCCTGGAACTTTAGACACATAAATCATGATTAGGCTCCCATGTGCTCTGACCAAGCGGCTAGAATTGCAGAACTGCCTTTCCTGATTAATAGGCCGCGGAGCTCCCTGGCTTGTCCACGGACTTTGAAAAATTAAATGTTTGTAATGTAATGTAATTCAAAAAAGCTCTGTCAGCTATAAATTGGAAGCAAAGAATATTTTAAATGTCTGATCACAGTGACTTGTTGAAAGTGGCCAGTGTCTCCTTTCTCTGCACTTTCTTTGCTCAGAGGTGGACATGAGTTTACTTGTTACATGGAGGGAGGGGAGGCAGCGGTCTTCAAAGAGTTCACGAGCCCCAGCCTCCCCGGCACAGTTGGTAGCATCCTGGACTGGGGAACTGGAAGCCATGTGCCAACCATGATTTGAGTCCTCAGCCTGGGCAGCCTGAAAACACACCAGGCACACGCATGCATGCAGAGGATCCTGGAAAACCGGAAGAGGGGAATCACGGCGCGACCCTGTGGAGGGTGCTTCTCTCTCCCCTCTGTCCCTCCCTCTCTTGCACACACTCTGTCATGACTTGTTAAAATATTCATGGAAGACGCATACCAGAAAAAATCTATGCGTGAATTTCAAAAATATTTGCCCCCAAATAAACTCATACTTCCATTTTCCCCTGAACTTTTCGAAGAACCCTTGCATATTGGTGTTTATCCCTGTATGTTGACAAAGGCGCGGTATCTTTTATTTATGACTCCTCACAGAGGTTCTAGC